TAACTTCTCGAAGAACAAAGAGCACATTCTTCCTCTCACTAATGAAACGCTGAAACCACGAACACATCATTAATCTTTTCAGGACTTTCACTGCCTTAATTGGTCTGGTGGAACCAGCTCATGCTAGCTAATGTTAGCGAACTTTAGAACTGTACAACAGTGGCACTAACATAACATCCATCCATCCATCCATCTTCATCCGCTTTATCCGGGGCCGGGTCGTGGGGGCAGCAGCCTAAGCAAAGGCAACTAACATAACAAAGTGTGCTTTTTTTGCTTGATGATTCCTGTCATGTTTCCTTTGGTCCTACACGCCACCTCTGCCGATTTCTTAGATACCACAAAAATTGAATAATTTAATCCAACTTAATCAACTTTGCACAAAAGTAATTTGCACTGAAACATCTGCATTGACCACTGCACCAGACAGAAACCACCCCTACTGCTCATTCCGTTGCTCCTTGGACTCTAGCATAAACTCGTGTATAAATTGTCAGTGCTCAAACTGTCTGTCTGTGTCACTCTTGTACTGTGTATTTATATTATTCATATGGTTATTTTATTACATAGTTTCTTAAAATATGTTAGCATATATGCACTTTTACGGAGCTGCTTTTTAATCTTGTTATACCGTGTATAATGATAATAAAGGCTTTTATTATGCTTTCACTCTGCCTCCAGCAAAGGCCTGGGCTGAACCAGGGTCTGTGTGCAGCCCGAGTCCACCATATCCTGGTGTATACCCCCTTAGCACCTTAGTGGCACGCTGTACGTCCCTCCGAGACTGATGGAGGGTGTTGAAGGGCCAGCACCACAGAACACCTGTCCCACTTCCATCCGTGGGCACTTTCACCTCCAGCACTCCTGCCCTGACACTGGTGTGGCTCCCAGTGAGTAAGGGGCAGTGTCCATGGGCGCTGGGAAAACAACACACTACTCACAACCAAATTACTCAATGCTGGTGGGTGCTGCTCTGCAGCAGCAGGCCATGGTGGTCATGGGGCCCAGAGCTGCATTTGAGTAGTAGGGACCGGTCGACTTACCACTGCCAGTTGCGGCTGCCTCCCAGACTCTTTTGGCCAATAGGTGATCCTCTGATCGCATCACAGTGATGTCCAGGCCGGCCGGCAGCAGCAGGCCCACTCTGTGATGTCTGCTGGAGGTCCCTCCACAAACTGCTCGAGAACAATCATGTCCAGCAGCCGAGGCTCTCCCTTTGGCGTCACCTAGCCGCCACATTGTGCTGGCGTCTGGCGTAGGCGAAGGGCCAATCCCCCGGCACAATCTTATCTCCCCAGAAATTATGGCACGGGTCTTCACGGGGTGAGCCCCAGCCGATCTACCTGGGCCTCCCCACACAGCAAAGGGAGTTGCAACAGAGACAACTCCTCAGCAGGCCACTGCTACACCACGCCCTAGGGGTCATCTCCTTCCATCCAGTGGAGCGTCCTGCAGCTGATCGAGTTGTTGTTGCTGCACCACCGCCTGCTCCCAATACAGGGTGGCCAACTGTGCCACCATTTTCACCAGTTCCACTATTGTCTGTGTTGGTCATGGGTCCACTCTCCCACTGCTGTGTTTCGGCACTACTGGAACAAAAGGACCCAAAGCACACAGCATTGCAGGTCCAGTGATCTTTATTTCCAGTGTTTTCGTGCTTTTCTAGGAGCAGCTTTCCAGCTGCCTTCTTCACTCCACACCACACACCACTCCTGTCAGATCCTGGCAACCTACTGAAACAGGGAAGCCATGATCAGGTGATGAAGAGCAGCTGTGTGGGTCAGCCTCCCCTGACACCACACCCTGAATCCACTGCTCCACCCGTCCCCTGCAGCTGAGCCACAAACCACACCCTGTCACAGCTTGCAAATCAATATTAGACTGGACATAACAGCAGTGACAGAAGCAAGGAAGAGAGAAAGCATCATGAGCAGTTTTTCTGCTATGTCAACTCGCTTGACTGCAGTTTGCAGTCAATTTAAAAACTATTTCAGAAATAAAAGCTGTTGGTGTAAAACTGGTGCTGATGAACTGAGCTGAATGGATGAGGGTGAGGATTGGAGCATCGTGCCTGATGTCTGAGTCAGCTTTTTGGTTCAGTGTCTGGCTGATGGCTCATGTCGATTCATCCTTAATTTTTTAACTTGGCAACAAAGGTTTCCTGAGATTCTTTTCAGTGGTGAAGTCTTATAGGCACATATCCAGCTTAACTTTTTCTTCTTGCACTCCATACTAGAGCAGCTTTATATGATCCACAATGCAAAATAATCCTTATTTATTTCACCTTACTTCTGACTGGTTGTCTCTTTGTACACTCTCTAAGTGTGCTTGTTCATCACACTGACTGCAGCTCTCATGTGTCAGCAGTTCAGTTCAATTTTCAATTCAGCTTTATTTATATAGCACCAAATCACAACAGTAATCACCTCAAGGTACTTTATGTTGTAAGGTAAAGCCCCTGCAATAATAGTATAGTTCACTAGTGTAATGCACTGTGGCTCTGGTGATGCTGTGGCTCCGATACGTCCAGCAGACTTGTGATTTGGTATAATGGGACTGTCTGCCATGGAAGTGGTTCCTTGGCTAAAGAATGAGCAGAAACTGTGCGTGGAATGAACAAAATCTTCTCTCGCTGCCATTTTCTGACCTTAGACAAACACTTGACAAGGTTTCACTTCAGCAGCCAAATGGGCTGATCAGGCTTAATGGTTATTTATTGCACTGTGTCCCAATGAGATGTATTTATGTGAACTCTGCGCATCATGTTACTTGTGAAGATGATTATTCAGCTGGCCTGGTTTGGTCAAAGGACAAGATCGAGCATTTCATAGTCTCTCCTCGGTCTCTTGACGGTATTAGAGCAGTCCATCAACTGCATTTCTTCAACAGGACCGGTGCTTTAGTTACCCCTTATTTCTTCATTCATTCATTTTTCCACAGTTTTACCATCATCGGTTCAGACCTTCAGAAGCCGCTGTGTGCTTTGGGTCAGATCTGGAATGTGTCGGTAACAGTGCACCTTACCCTGTGTGCTGCTTCAGACAGGAAGCAGGAGTGGATGACTTTGGTTTTAGGTTCTGTGATACAGTGATGTCACTCTACAATAACAGCAAAGCCACACTGTGATTTATGGACTGCAGACAGTCAAATGCATCTCATGGCGATTGAACATCAACACTAAGGTTCCACTTCCCTTCAGCTCCTTGGCAGCAAGCTGTTCCCACAATTCTGGTTGCTGACTATCTTCTTGACTTTGTAAAAAACCCTTGAAAACGACCAAAGACTGGGCCGCCTCGAGCGCTGGTTGAATGCTGCTGCAGTAATCTGTTGAAAACAATTTCAGGCAGTATCAATCAGCCCCAATATTAAAATCAGTAACAGGTGAAGAAAACAACTCAAATTTCATTACAAGCACTGCTCTGCTGGGAAACCTTGGCTCTTGGCATACATGCGGATGTTGCTTTGAGACAAACCGCCTCCCTAAAAATTGTTGCGAAACCAAGAACATGCTTCTCCCCATAGTAACGATTCTCCCCAAAGGGAGAACGATGACCTGTGCAAAACCATCCATGTTAGTCTCAAAAACCATGACAAGACCCCAGTATGTTGGTTCAGTCCTGAAACTCCCCAAATCCAAATCTGACTGAGCATCTGCAGGATCTGCTGAACGAGTCTGGTCCGTTGAGACCTTTCCCCCAAGATGCAGAATCCGGTGCACCATAGGACACCTTAACCCTGGACAGTATTAGGCAGGTGTCTAACAGTCTTGTGCCCGACCTCTGTAATTATAGGTTGGTTTTCCTCACCTGTGTCCTTTGTAGACTTGGAGATGTCTTCAAACATCACTGAGTGAGAGTAGTGTATGCTTATTTATTTTTAATGTCTCTGACCTACACAGTTCATTACCAGTTGACAAATACAAACATCTCAAATAAAGTCTAAACTTTCATTTAGTTGAAAATACAGCTGCTCGTATTATTCCCAGAACTGGATCCACTGAACATATAACACCTGTTCTTAAACAGCTTCCAGTTCACCTCCGTGTCAATTTCAAGATCCTGCTTCTCACTTTCAAAGCGCTTCATAACCTCGCTCCTCCATATTTACCTGATCTTCTCCATACATACTCACCCCATGGTACACTCCGCTCTTCTTCAGCTTCCCTCTTGTCTGTTCCACCTGCTCGCCTGACTACCACGGGACTCAGAGCCTTTAGTAGCTCCGCCCCGAGACTTTGGATGCACTTCCACCAGATCTCTGGACCACAAACTCTCTCACCACTTTTAAATCACGTCTCAAAACCCATCTATTCAGAATTGCATACAGCTGATCTGTCTGTATTAGTCCATTTTTACCTGCCTCAGCTTTTATACTTTTATGCTTGTGTGGTTTTGTTGTGTTTGTTTGTTTGTTTTTTACTTTATGTCTAAATTTTATTTTGCCATGTTTATTATATTTTATTGCTGCTATTGTTCTTGTTTTATCGTAAGGTGACCTTGAGGGTATTAAAGGCGCCTATAAATAAAATGTATTATTATTATTATTGTAAAATAAATATTCATATACAGTGTATTTTATCTGATTTTCTTTCCAGCCCTACCATTTTGGAGTAAAGCTTTTAGCATTTTAAAGGCTAGCATGCTACCACCACTTAGTGCTACAAGCCCTCACAAAACTTCCTAAATCAGCTAACATTTCTGATTTTCTGATCTGACCATCATTCATCTGTTTGTCGTTCTAAATATGCCAGTAAGAAGCTCCGTAAGTTCAACAATACTTGGTTCATTTATAATTTTGCTGATTTTTGTTTTTTTGAGGTGGAAAATGCAAAAAAACGATATTAAAACGACTAACTGGATTGCAGTCTTGTGGCTCCATGTTTTTAGTGATGCATCCGTCACATGCAGGCTACTGACATATGTCAAGTATATACTTTTGTGTCCATGTCTTAAAATCATGCACAACCACACTTTAATCCTTTATCGTCTTTGTCCCAACAGGAAGGCTGGCCTCATCCTCTCGCAGCTTGATGAGCTCTCCCCATGGTGTAAGGGTCTCCTTCAAGAGCCAAAGATCGGTCTTCGCAGGATGTCCCTCAAGTTCCTGTCCTGTCGTTACACAGACACCAAAGTCTTTGGGCTTAACTGGTCAGACATGGGCCAGGATGTACAAAAGGCATGTGATGAGCAGACGCTCACTGTCATGTATAACGACTACGGCGAGCCCAGGGAGCTCTGAAGGTTTCAGATTTGATTTAGACGACAACAGTTTACTCTTGCAAATTGCAGTATTTGTATTTGTTGTCTCAAATGCTCCACATTATTTGAAAAAGCCATTAACTTTTTTAACTTAAATGGCTCCTGAACTAAACATATTTCATGTATTACGGTATCCAGTGGTCTCTAAAGTCAGCTCTAAAACTCAGCTAAGAAAAAGGTCCTAAATGAATCCACGTCTCTTTGCTGTCCTTAGACCTGAAAGACTTTAAGTTAGTGAACATAATGCAGTCGTTGATGCTTTCGCCAGAAGCATCTTTCTTCTTGAAGTTGATCAGTTCTCACTGGTCATTCTTCACTGCATATAAGACTATGTTGTAATAAGTATTTTCTTCACTATACATTGTGATCTTATGGCCTGAAGCATCATTTTAGGTGAAGCGAATAATTTAGCATCAACACAAGCTTTATATTCACATCAAGGCCGGTGTGTTTAACTTAGTGGGCATCAAAATCCACACAACTCCAGCTCTCAAATCCAACTAACCCCACAGTTATCCAGATTGAATCACTTGAGTATAGGATGTCAGGCGATGGTGGAAATGATACTTACTTGTGTTTTGTTTGATCATGGCTCATAGATATGGAATTATGAGAGACGATTTGTTTTTTGATCATTTCAAATCTGTGAAACAGAAGGAAAGTGATTTTTTTCTCTTTAAAGCATTAATTTGATCCACAGAGTCACCTAGAAAGAAAAAAAGTGGTTTCATTCTGATTGGACATTTTCAGATTTAAACAGCTGCTTTGTGCCTACTTAAATCCAAAAGTACCCAAATCTTTAAATGTTTTGGGAAAACACAGGAAAGTTGTCCGCCAACCATCGGTGGCTACAGGAAGCCTAGATGCAATTACTTGATTCTTGGACCTGATTTGTGATCTGGAGTCAACTTCATATGAAGTTTATATATAAAGTTGGCTTAAAAGAGTCTGTCCAGTTCACTGTAGCCTCACCTTCACTGGCACATTCCAGCAACAGTTATAAATGAATATTTTTCTGCTTCAGTTTTTAGTGGTTTTCATCCAAATGTATTATGAATGAATGCAGCACCTGCAGCAGGTGAACAGTTGTGCTAGACATCAAGTATCTGATGACGTGAATAGTTCTGGTATTGGCTGTTAGCTGCGTGTAGTTCTTTATTCATCGGGGGCATTCTGCTTTTAGCTGCTACTCCTCCATGTATGTATTTTGGATGAAGTCAGCTTCACAGTATGTAGTTACAGACCTTTTGTCTGTTTTCTCATCTTTCCAACATGCCGAAGAGTTCAAGACATGCAATATACTTCAGGATGTGTCGTACGTGGTACTGGGAAAAGGCAGTACCTTATAAAGTTCTGTTTCTATAACAAAGGAAAGATTGCATGTAGGCAAATAGATTTACTAGAAAAGCAAAACTTAGAAAGGTTAATTATGTAGATAATAGTCGGAATTATTTTAGTAGTATAGACATTCAAGAGAAAGCCCTGTACATAACATTCAAAGTTTTAGTGATATAACCTGCTCAATGTAGTGTTATTTGCATTTAAGCTGTAGTACAGAAGGTGTAACAAGCATCAAAAACACATGATTTAAAATCTGTACAAATCCAATAAAAACTGTCAAAACGATCCTTCTTCATTGTTTTCAAGTTTGAATGTGATTTAATCCAGTGAATACTTTCAAAACGATCATTCTGTACTTAAGCTGTAGTTTAACAGCAGTTTAATCATCTTAATTTTACGTGCGCTAATCTGGTGTGTTTCTTGCCAGCTTATTCTTATTTTATTTGAATTGACTCATGTTATTATAATATGGTATTTTGGTTTGTATTGTATCAACTGTTGCTAGTAAGTTATAAATTAATAGTTTATTAAACTTTAGCAAATAGTTCTTTTACTGTTAACGGGCAAAACGAATACTTAAATACTTATTCTGTGCTGATTTTGTGCTTCTGGTGACTTTCCATATTTGTAGCTAATCACCTAATTGTGAGGGTGAATGAATAGCGTCTGGTTACAAGTTACAAATGCCAACTCTCACATTAATGTTTTATTATTACTCACTACTTTAATGATAACCCAGACGGCTAATATTAGTCATTGATAAAAGTTAACCAGCTAACATTAACAGGTGGTCCAGATTGAACATTTATGATAATTCATTAATAATTTTATGTTTCAAAACAACAGTTTTATTGACGAAATCTTTAAAAAGATGTGTTCGTCTTTAAGACACTGAACCATGGTTGTTGTACTACTGTTGACATGTTCAGGTACTAGTGAGGGGACGAGCTGTGTGGCTAACAGTAACACTGTATGAAGTTCTGTCCTAACTGCTCTGTTAGTATCAGTACTGCTGTGAATGACTTCATCTGATAGTCATTTTTAGTATCAGCCAACATCATATTTTTTTTAGAATTTTGTTATCAAAAGGTACCATTAAGTGTCAGTTCTAGTGAAATATCTAATAACTTACTAATGTTGTAACAGATCATGTATATTAGATTTAACACAGATCAGATATAATAAGATGACACACGTTGTGTCAGAATGCACTCTAGTTTTGATTTGATATCATGACATTGTCTGTTAACAGGAAAAAGCTACTAGCTACAGTTTTATCCTCTATTAATTTACCATTTATTAATTCCAGTTATTTTTAGGTGTTACTGTTACTTTAACTGTAGTGGCCAAGTCAAAGGTTGATGTCAAAGAAAAAGATATAAACGAGCAGGTGATTTTTAACAGTTCTCGTATGTGAATACTAAAATGAGCGCTTGTAGATTTTTGTATAGGCAGCAAATTATTTCAGAAATGCTTCACGTTAGAGCACAGTACGGTGTTTGACTTCTGTATATAAATGTACACCAATTGGTATTTTACATTTACATGTGCTTTACTAGATCCAATGATGTACTGTAATATCTGCTGTGTATCTCAGTCTCTGCACATTAACACACTGATGCCTGTTGTAAAACGACGAGCATACGGTTCTTGAATCTTCTGTGATCTGTAGATGATACCTGGAATTCAGCTGAACTTCTGCGCTGAGCTAAACTGAAAACGAAATAACCAACAAAATAAAAAAGATATGGGGACCCATTTGAGCATTTCAGAAACATGAAACAACCATCTACTATCTGCATGCTATATTGTGTGTGGCATCATAAAGTCGACTTTTTCACTTTGATCTTTGCTACTTCTGAGAACAATAAAAGAATATACTACAAAAAGTGGCTGTGTAGATATTTTTCAGAGCTTACTAAAGAGATTTTGCATGTGCACACTGATTGAAATTCATATAATTACTTGCAAGTTGTTCTCAGCAAGTGCTCACAAACTGTTATACAAACTGTTGGAGCTACTTAACTATTCTGAGTTTTTGGAGCCACATTTGGACAAAAGGGTGAAAATTCAATTTATCAGCTAAAGCTAGCAAGCTAGGCTATCTAGCAGCATTACCGCACTGTACATGTGCATTGCAGAGAGAACTAGCTAATTATCAACAGACTAATAAAATCCTGGAATTCCACTCACCAAACCGAAAACATGCCTCTTACACAGGCAGAACCATACAACAAGAAATATAAATGCTACAATAGCATAAACACAATGAAGGTGTCCAGTTGAATACTTGGATTAGTGAAAGTGAAGCTGCCTGTGTTGTTTGTCAATCAATTAGGATGAGTTATAAAAAAAATCTCTTTATGCTGTTATGAAGTATGAAATTATCCATAGAGCCCAACACTGCTGTTGAACCAGGCTGTAAATATGCTTCCCAGTGGTGTAAAGTTGGGTGGGGAGCCAACCTTAAGTAGAAGGACTTAAGTAGTAGAACTGTAGATTTAAATTTTTCATGTACTATGTTATGTCTGTTAGCTTAGCTGAATAGCACTAAAGGTTTCTATTTGTGGTCAGAGCATCTCATCAATACAACATGTAATTGACAGAATACAAGTCCACAGTTGTAAGGGTCAATATAAAGTTGCTATTTATTTCATAGAATATAAAGTACAGTTTTGTAAAATATGACAAACAAGCATGATTATACTTACTATAGATCCAATATAGTACTGGGGTAGTTTATTATTTCTAGATAATGGACACCAAAAGCTGTCTGACGTAAACACATGCAAGCAGATGTCTGTGCTGAGTGGATGATGTGACCAGGTTTCCCAAAGAAGTCTCCCTCTTTTTGCTTTTCAGTATTCCTCTTCATGTGCCGATATGTTTCAGTGAGCCCTTGAGCCAGTAATATTTGATGCTGCTGATGTTGTATTTATATAAGTAAACATTCTCTTTTGGGGTTCTTCTTTTTTTGGGAAGCCCTATGCACACATTGTAACCTACTGATACACGTTTGTAGTAGAAATATTACTGACCTGTGTGGCTAATAGGTGATCTAATACATGTGTTAGGTGATCCAAATATATTAGTCTATATATGTTAGTCTTTACATACATGTATCCACTTAAATTCCTAACGACTACAAGGATCCGAAGCCCGTTCAGGTACAATGACAGCACTTGGGCGGATTCCATGAGGAAACAGGAGACTTTGCCTCGGCATTTTTTAAATACAGTCACTGTAATTGTGTTTTTCCCCTCGGTAGCTCTTCCTGTGAGGACTGTGCCTGTACTGGACAGTTTCAGGCACATCCAGTTGTTTTAGTTGTTCACTTCCCCGAGACTAATCATGTCCAGAACAGTACTCGAGTCCATTTACAAAAGTGATTTGATCCAATTATCATGGTTTGAATTTCAGAGGGGACGATAAACTGTTCAGCCAGGCTCTGATGTTGAAAACAGAATTATCTTCACAAATCCAATAGTGAAGATAACCTTTAACTTCTTAACAGGGAGAGAAAACATATTCATGTGTGGAGGTTGTTTTGCTGGACTGGACACAGGAATTCGAGTTTCAAACCACCATGACTCATATTTAATGCAGCTTTAACAGTAAAATGTCCTTTTATTGTACAACGTCCGACTTCAATCACAATCGCTGCGTTATAAAATCTTAAAAATGGGATATTCTGTGTTTGTTGTGGTGGATATTCTGTGGTTTGACTCCATTTAACTAAAGTTCAACTTATATCATCCCTCCATCTTATTGCGTCCCTCCTCCCTCCGAGTGCTTGGCTTTGCTCTTGTTCTCTTCTGCATCCGGATCCCGGCAAGTGCATTCATCCTGAGTGCAGTCAGCTCCAAATTGAATGACCTGTCAGTAAATAAACACAGCATTCAGTGCGTGGCTTCCCAAAACTGCTATATATCTTTCAGTCTGTGGCTGAAACACACGACATGTGACTTCTCAGTTTGTGTTGTGCGCATTCCAGTTCTTAAAAGATGACTAAATCAAGAAAGCAAACATCCGGTGAGTTTGGTTTTCTCATCAAAGCCCGGTCCTTGCTTAGCTTTAATTCAATCTAAACCTATTCCACTGTAAGTGAAACAAAAAGCATAGAAACGAATTCTGAAAAAGCAGTGGGATAGGAAGAACTGTTACATCAGAACTTTGAGTGAAAGCAGAGTTATTGAGAAGGCCTCTCGGTAGGGTTGTTACATTTCAACTGTAGCAAAGAGCACAACTGTGAATGGCAAAAACAGACAATAAAGTATAAATTAGCTTGAACTGACCTAGCAGCATTGTGTTTGTGCTGAAAGCTAAGCACCCCTTAGTACTTGCTGCATTTCTTCACAGTTTCGCTCCAACAGCCCCCCTGAGGCCGATAAAGCGCATGTCAAATGGTTCAACGTGGCCTTTGAACGGTTAGAAAAACCTTGAGGGTCGGGGGGGGATGGGAAAGGAGGGCAGAACGCACCGCCATGGAGGTGAACGGATGAACACATGTTAAGAATCAACAACGAGAGGCTGCCAGCTCTTGTCTAGGAAGCGAGCCATCACCACAGGTTGCAAAATAAACTCTGGTGCCCCGTGAAGCAGTCTGTTGCAAGAAATGTAAACATTCGCTCTCAGAGAGGAGTGAGAGGAAGACGGAGCGAAAGAAGGCAGGGGAGAGAAAAGTGTAGAAGACAGAGGGAGAAAATGAGCAAAGGTAAGAAGGAGAGTTGTAGGTAGCAGTTTGTCAGCCTTCACTGCTGACTGCACCTATTTCTGGACCCTGACGGCAGGGTGATACTTTCGCTGAGGGCTCTCAAAGCGCTGCACAAGAGCAAGCTTCACTTCAAATGCCAGCACTCGCATTTAAGCCGGGCTGGCACGACCGTTAAATGTTTCCCTAACAGCTTCATCTTGACAGAAAGAAAGCCTAACAAGCTCTGGATGGAGAGAACGAGCCTGTTTGTTTTTTTACTTCATCCACACAAACAAAAGCCAAGTCTGTGTTTGAGAGATGCCTCCTGCTGTTTGCCGAAACCTATTCGCGAACAAAACCCGCGTGACGAAAACGTTTCGTGTAGCAGCCCCACAGCCCTTTCTGGTTGGCCACTTGTTGGACAAAAACAGACACTCCTGTTAAATTAACGGAAGCGTGAGTGTTTCGACAGATGATGTGGCAGCTCACATCGTAACTTTTCCCTTTTGGCTAATCATTCAGTCTTACCTGATTCATCTCTCGAGTATTCCAGCTCCTTGAAAAGGAGTCAGCTGGCCCCACTAGGGCTGTGCGTTATGACCAAAATCTCATATCCCGATATTAAGACATCTATCGTCCCGATAACGATATAAATCACAAAAATGTAACATTTTCTGTAAATGCTGTGAATCTCGAGCAGCTCGACCTGAAGTGTTTCCAGCTGTCATGTAGCTGGAGTCCAGTGTTTTAACCGAAGCATGAAACGACACATTTTTAGACATAAGTTGTAACGGCGCCGTTTTCTTTGTGAGTGTTTATTACACGGCGTGCTGCGGGGAAAAGCCTGTTCTAACGTTTGAGTCTACGGTTTATTTTTTAGCACCTGGCGGCTCTTTTTTACTTCTCATCCGTAAACATTCTGCATCTTTCATGTGATTCAGTTTATTTTGAAAAGTCTCAACAGGATCTTGAGCTTTATTGTGAAAGGTTTATGTGGAACAAGCGGACACGCCGTGGTTTTACCGTCGTTGTTGCTAACGACAACGCATAAAAACAAAGGCTTGTCCGTCCTTAGTGTGGTTATATTAAATATAAGAGAAAGAGAGAACTTTAGGAAATGAATATAGCCACTACAGTGACCATCAGAACGATGAAACAATATTACCGTAAACAGTTTATTTTGCGACACCACGAAATAAACGACAGCGTAAAATGAAACGATAGATGTTTTTATATCCGATAGATATCGTTATATCGAACAGCCCTAGGCCCCACGGGATAAAACCAAACAACTTCACATATGACTATTGACTCAAAATATATCAAGTATTTCAGATATGCACAGTGGCCACAGCTGCAGAACAATCTAAACATTATCAACATTATCTGTTTATGTTGAATGATTAATAATACTGAAATGTCATGAACGTCCAGGCTTTTTGTGTGTGGCGGCAGTGAAAATAAGCAATGTGGGTCACGCTGTGTTAAAAACCTGTAATTGCCTACACCTGCATACATCGAGCCCCATAGAAACAGAGAGTTCTGGAAAAAGGCTGAGCCTTCATTACCCCCCCTCTTGCTCCATCACCCTGCTGGAGCCGCGGCAGTCAGGATGCACACTCTCATGGCTGTTTAGTTCACTTCCTTGAAACGACCCCCGCTTGCTGAGTTGCTGTTTTACAGTGGCCGAGGAAACCGCAGACCGTCAGACACCTCGCTGCTCCCACACTTATACCCTCCACCTCTCCCTTCCCCTGTAAAAGAGCAGTTAGTGGCAGTCTGGCAGCTCATTTATTATGACGGCAGCTGCAGACTCGCTGAACTCCTCCATTTAAGAAGGAGCTGCCAGTGAGTCATGGCGTGCTGCGGACATAAAGGAGACAGCGGAGGTTCAGCCAACTGTAGGCCATATGAATTAACAGGCAGGGCCCCTCAAAGAGTGTCAGGAATATGTGGCTTTACAGTAGCCAAACAGAGTCTATTTGACGGTGGTGGGAGAGCTGGGGAGTAAGTGACTTCCTAAATGTCAACAGGGGAGAGAAGTTCTCAGGAAAGCACAGAAAAATAAGGGGAAAAAGATGTGTTTATGTGGCCTGGTTTCCACCACAGGCTGACCTGGGCTAACTCATTATTATTCATACCATTCCTCTTAGCCACTTAATATATACAGCAATCATTTAGCGCAATT